AATTATATTTTATTTCATTTCATTTTATTCTATTCTATTGTTGAAAAAATTTATATTTAGATTTAGCCAGCTGGACTCAGTTTAGATGATCCCAATTTTGCTGGCAACATCCAAAGCATCATAGTCAGGAGCCAGTCGAACATATGCTTTCTTTTCTCCATCGGGCCTGATCAGAGTGTTGACCTTGGCCACATCAATGTCATAGAGCTTCTTCACGGCCTGTTTGATCTGGTGCTTGTTGGCCTTGACGTCCACAATGAACACAAGAGTGTTGTTGTCTTCTATTTTCTTCATGGCTGACTCGGTAGTCAGGGGGAACTTGATGATGGCATAGTGGCCAAGCTTGTTTCTCCTGGGGGCGCTCTTTCAAGGATATTTGGGCTGTCCTTGGAGACGCAGTGTCTTGGGTCGTCGGAATGTAGGTGACGTGCGGATCTTCTTTTTTTTATGACTGTGGACACCTTTCAGCACTGCTTTCTTGGCCTTCAAAGCCTTTGCTTTGGCTTCAGCTTTGGGAGGGGCAGGGGCTTCCTTCTTTGCCTTCGGGGCCATCTTCATGAAAGGAGGCCGGATTTTAAAACACACATAACAGTTGCCAGAGATTTTTAATTTTTTTTTAATGTTTTATTTTTATTTTTGAGAGACAGAGACATGGCACAAGTGGGGAAGGGGCAGAGAGAGAGGGAGACACAGAATCTGAAGCAGGTTCTAGGCTCTGAGCTGTCAGCACAGAGCCCGACACGGGGCTTGAACTCAGGAGCTGTGAGATCAAGACCTGAGCCAAAGTCGGACACTCAGCCAACTGAGCCACCCAGGCGCCCCAATAGTTGCCAGAGATTTTTAAAAGTTTGCATTTCACATGCTACCAGAACTTCACTACCTTAGCAACTTCATTTATCTTGCCCTTCCTTGATTACAGGTACACTATGAGGTAGGAATGGTTCTGAGTAAACTCACAGCATTAGAGATAATTTGTGGCATTCAACTGTTTGGTTCTCACTTGTCTCTTCCTCTCTTTTTTTTTTTTTTGACCCCCTGTCACTGCACAATTTAAGAAGGAGCCAAAGTATCCCACTTTCTTTTTCTTCTAGGCCACTGGCTCAGGGTATAACAACAGATCACCCTCCATGTATGATGCAGGGAAGCTGGACCCCATTTGTTTGAAAAATGGCAGAGCTGTAGCTGGAAGGGATTATACAGCTAGACTTACTTCTTCCCTGTACATTCACTCCTACATTTGACACATGTAAGCTACTTTTTCTTAATAAAACCATAAAAGCCTGTATTTATTGCCTTGAATGTGTGAGGTTTCCTCCCCCAAAACAGATTTGTGTGGTGAGAATTGTTCTAATAAATAGAATATAAGACTTATGCAAAAGAGCCATTAGAGGGAAAAAAAAAAAAGGTAGGAGGCACTACTCTACCCAATGGGTTCTGGATATATTCTGCATGATCAGGTGACATAATTAAAAGAAATTAAACTTAACAGTGAGATAAAAGAGAAAATTTCAAACTCACTTACCAAACTGCATGCCCCAATCTCCAAGGTAATTTATTCTGGTGACTTGATGTCCTAAAGCTTCTTTGAGATTTGCTATAAAATTTCCTAGTAATCAATAAAATATATAGTTTCTCATTCTTGTTATCCATTTTGGCATAAGAACCATGTGTTTCTCTATTATCAAAGCATAACAAAAATTTTTTTGATAAAATTTACCAATTCAATTTTTTTTAGTAAAATATTCACTATTGTGTTTTCATCTATGTTATGGAGCAGGAGTAGAGAATTATTTGGGGGGCAGTTATTCCAAAGAACCTCACAATTTTCATAAGAACATAATTTTCAGCAACATTAGTGGGAGCTGGGAACATATGTTAGAATAACTGAATTGCAAAGAAAATAAGAGAATCTCAATAAGTAACAAGAGATAATTTTGCTAATCCCTATAGAGCCTAAACCACACTGGTGTTTTTTTCTCAACAGCTCACTCTACCTTCTTTCAATCACTGAAATCCACCTCCTCATGCCTGCTCCCTAAGAGCACATGGTAGTTCAAGAACTTCATCTTCTTCTACTGCTGACACTGGTTTGATATCCAACACCTGCTTCACTCTCCTCGTGTGCACTCATATGCTGCAGAGGCTGGAAACCTAAAAATTACATTTCTCAGAAACTTCTGCAGTTAGGGTTTCAGAAGTCACTTATATTTGGGCAATCAGATACACTTTGCATGAGACTTCGAAGGTGAACATGAGGTGAGTGAGAGGGGAGCTACTTCTATTTTTTCTGACAAGCACAGCTGTGGAGGCTTTTTCTTTTTGGTGGCATCACTAATAGCCCAGTGTCCTGTCATGTGACTTCCAAGGGAACTGAAAGGGTATGGGGCTGCCTGTTTTGCTTATATGAATTCTAGAAGATATGGCAGGACTAGTGGCAACGGTAGCATGGCTGCTACTGGAAGTGACTGCAGAAAAGGCAGAAGCTCCCTTGATGAACATGCTCTACGGTATAATTCTGGTAATCATTTATGTCACTTCACCCAAAGCTTCTTCAGCACTTCCAACAACTTTGTAAACTATTCAATATCCTGTAATAAATTCTTGCCTGCTTTTACTACAGTAGATTTAGTTTTCTGCAAATAATCCTTCACCAATATGTATATCTGACTCAAATTACTGCAGCTACTCCTTTTCCAGCTTCCTTACTTCTAGACTTTCCCAGTCTATACAGTCCTAACAGCAAACTTCTTCCGCTGCTACTCAGATTGTATTCTTATTTTTAATTAGCATCTTATTATCTTACAAATCAACTAAATAACACAAACCTAAGCTTCTGGAATTAGACTAATTTCAAATCCTGGCTATGATACTTACTAGCTAGGTGATTTTTGGAAAAGTTACTTTTGGTATCTGAGTTTCCACATATCACGGTAAATAACACGGTAAATAAATTCTCAGGAAGTATTATCTCTTCCTGGCCCATTCCTACAATTTTGACCTACTCATGTAGCTTTTCTTACACAGTATATTTTTTATACTCTTTCAAAAATCAAACCCTATCATTTCCTCTCTTAAAATGCTCCAGGAGATCTCTCCCACAACAAGAGGTGATTCCAGTTTAATAATGATCTATGCCACAAAGTACCGATTGCTCCGATTCTTAAAAATATTCAAACGACAGGTTAAATGATCCCTAAGGCATGCAATAGACAGATTTCCACACCAGAAGACAGATCAGATGAGATACACTTCAAAGTCTCTTCAATTCTAATTGCAGTTTTTAAATTGGGCTACTGCATCATGTCATGTTTTAAATAAATGAAGATCTTAGCATATACACTGAAGCATTACAGCTATGAAGTACAATAGCAATCTTTCTTAGAATACTCTTGTTTCAATTTCCAGTTTTGAATGCTCCAGTTAGCACTCAAGTGATGGAGATTGAGTTTCTTTTTTCTAATTGAGATATAATTGGTATTATAACAGTTTCTTTTTTAAAACAAAATATATAGAACAAAAAACCTGACAAGATTACCATCATCCACACATTAACTATTTTCATTTTTGCATCTTTCAGATCTTCTTCATATGCATACATACTTTAAAAAAGTTAAAATCCTCAACAAACCTAACAGTTAAAATTAGTTTCTGAGTCAATCTTTTGGTTTTCAAACAAATTTTTTTCTACTTCTAAACCAATTTTTCCCATTTCATATATTAGCATTGGGCTCATATAAGTTTGAACTTTGTTTTTCGTCTTCTGGTTACTTAAGCATTAAACCATTAGCATGCATGATCAAAATATTGCCTCAAAGTCATGTTTAGTATTTTCTGTAAATGAATGACACTCACCTATGATGGTAGAACGCAAATGTCCAACGTGAAATTTTTTGGCAACATTAGGTGAACTGCAAATAATTGCACAAGTTATATTTCTGTTCTATGAACAGGAGTTCTAAAATGAACTAGGTCATGCTTCTACAGTTTAACATAATTGGGGACTAAGGCCTTTGGTAATTCAGCTCAAAGTTAAGTAAAAAACTAGAAATTTAGAGCAAAGATAAATTAGAATTCAGAAAGAATTATTGAAACTGATCCTGTGACTCACAAGGTAGTATCATACATAGAAATGGCACACTTAGGAAGCAGATACATTTAAGGATTGATAAAAAGATGAAGAAATTCAGAGACATTGTTTTGACATAAAAACAAAGCAGATTATTGGGAATTAAGTTTAGTATACCAGTTACAAATCCTTTGTCCTCTTAAAAATTACTGACTCCATAGAAATTTTGTTTATATTGGTAATATCTATCAACATCTACTGCATCAAAACCTAAAATTGAAAAATATAAAAATATTTATGCATAAAACTTCCCAGAATAATTAGAAATGTGGTTCACCACTCCAATTCTCAGTCAACACATTTATCACTTCTCTGTATGCTCGAGAAGTTGTAATCAATAATTTAACAATAGCAAATTGCTTCTAGAGCACTAACTACCTGACAGGCACAATTTCATGCACTTTATATGTATTAATCCTTTAATATTCATTCGAGTTGTGAGGTAAGGTACTCTCATCGCTTATTATACAGATGAGGAAACTGAGACAACAGGGAAAAAAGATAATGAAACAAATGTGGTAACAGCCTGATGCCTCTTGAATGTGGGTGATAAGCATATGGATTTAACTGTACTGTTGAGTTTTGTGTATGTTTGAAAATTGCACAAGTTTTTCAATATTAAGAAAAAAAAAATAACCTGAACCCACTTGATTAAACATGGTAAAATGAGAGCTTAATTTTGGTCTGTCTTCAAAGCCTTATACCAAGAGTATTACAATTTAAAAAACTGATTCTACATAAATATGCATGCAGTTGTAAAATTAGAAAACAACAAGAATGTTCATTTAATTATTTATAAAGTAAATGTCCTTCTAGAAATTAAAAAATAGGGAATCTTCCATTTCCCACCAAGACAGAGTAACAAGGATTGGATTTACCCTTCTGCCTTAAACAACCAGAAAACCAGAAAAATGTATGAAACACTGGTTTTATGAAACCAGACACTGAAGGGCTATGATCCCTGAGAGAATGAGAAGTAAAGTGACCTTGAGCAAATGTGTGAGCTAAAGCAGAAAAATCTATGGCATGGAATGTTTATATTACAAAAGAAAGCCTCCAAACCAATAAGACATCTAATTTTCTCCTTTAAGAAACTAGAAAAGGAAGACCAAAGTAAGCAAAATAAAAGATAATATAGATAAAAGCAAAGTCAATAAAATAGAAAAAAAAATATTCTACACCCTAATTGCAGTGGTAGTTACATGACCTGTACACCTTTGCCAAAATTCATCAAATTATATGCTGAAATGTTAAACTGTATTATATTGTGCATGATTATATTCCAATAAAGCTGATTTTAAAAAATGACAACAGAATAGTATGAAACAATAAAAATAATAAACCAGCCCTGGATATACTTCAAATATTAAAGGAATACAAGACATTATTTAGTGAAAAAAGTAAGCAGCAGAACAATGTGTAAAAACAGACTATCTCTAGGTGGGTAAACAGGAAACTAGTATTGATGAATGCCCATAAGGCGAGAACTAAGAAATGGGAATGGGGAAGAAAATTCCTTTTCACCGAATATTCTTTTATAATCTTTGAATTTGATCAAGCTAGTTATTTATATTATCTTTTTTTTTTAAAGTTTTCGCAGAGTTTTTGTATTGTTTTCTCTAGGACTGGAAGAACTGCATCTACCTAGGTTTTCAGCCTTGACAAAATGTCCCTTTTGAACCATCAGTATGCTATTCTTTGGTACGATTTTCCTACTCAGAACAAATACAATGAAACGGAAAGTACAAATTCGAGTCCCTTGGCAACAAAAGTAGCCCTGGTGAACGACTTATAATTTGGATACCTTACTGAATCTTGTAAAAAAAAAAAAAAAAAAAAAAAAAAAAAAAAAATTATGTAATTTCCTCAATCTTTAAGAAAAGACAAATATTATTGCTCTTAATTTCCAGATAAGAAACCAGGAAAATAAACTGTCCTATCCAAGACTGTCGAGTCAGTTACTAATAGTCACAACGGGTAACCCAATCTCTCAGATTCTCAATTTCCTAGAGGTCCTCAATCTGTTTTGTGAGAACACTTCACACTGGGGAATAGCAGGGGATGGGGAAGACTGAGCTGAAAAAGAAGAGGAAAGTACACCACTGCTGACTGTTCCTCAAAGTTTGATCTGTACAAAATAGGAAATGCTGACTTTGCAGAGAGGAGGGAGGCAACAGCAGTTAGCTTCAAGTCTTATACCACCTACTCAGCTAGAGCTCATATATGATGGACAGTCCTCTACTCTGGCATTTTATCACGATACTCCTAGATCTGACAAAATATATGAGAATCAATACTGTATGTCAGGGAGGCAGTAAAGGTAAAGTATACAGGCTTCAGAGTCAGAGTTAGTCTATGGCCCTGAGCAAGTTACTTAACCAATTATTACCATCAACACCTCAACTTAGAGGGCAAGTTTCTTGAACACTTATCTCTTGTTTTTTGGGGGTAAAGTTACCCTATTTAAGATACTATATATTTAAAAAGCTCTGTTCTCCCACCTCTCTCATTTTCAGAAGAAATTCTTTTTTTTTTTTTAATTTTTTTTTTTTTAACGTTTATTTATTTTTGAGACAGAGAGAGACAGAGCATGAACGGGGGAGGGTCAGAGAGAGGGAGACACAGAATCTGAAACAGGCTCCAGGCTCTGAGCTGTCAGCACAGAGCCCGACGCGGGGCTCGAACTCACGGACCGTGAGATCATGACCTGAGCCAAAGTCAGCCGCTTAACCGACTGAGCCACCCAGGCGCCCCTTCAGAAGAAATTCAAGAATGATGTTTCCTATCAACTTTGACCCTGTCCCTCACTTGTTTGTCTCTACTTTGAAACAACAATGGTAAGCATCATAGCATATGGAAAACTTCTAAGGGAAAGAGCAGCTATGGACAAAGCAATGCCAGATGGAATATAACAGAGAGCAAAGATGGCTGCTGGGACATGGACTCTGCCTTCATCAGCATTCAAATGCTCATTTAAATTCCAGACTTCCTTATTAAATCCTTTAGAAAAAGCACAAGAGGAGCAAATCCATAAGCAAATAAAAAAGTCTACAAAGAAAAAGCCATACAAATAGCTTACAGAATACAACTCAAATAGAACAGGCTACTTTTAGACATTTCTTATAAGTGTAAACAAAAGAGTATTATTACATGGGAAACAAAAACAGGAGAAAAGCAAGAGAATCAATGAATAAGGAAGACTGAGGTGTTGGTATTTCAAGTTTGGTTGGGAAGAAGGGATGATGAAGGTCAAGTGACAATAAGAAAGAACGTGTTAAAAGTGAACGCTGGTGGCAACTTTTCAAGTTTCAAGAAACTTACAATAGCATTATTTCAAGGATGAATGCATGGTAACAGATACTATACCACTTCTCTACTGATTTTCCTTTACTGCTGGTTAGGTAACAGCAAGAAGTAGAAGAGGAATATGGTATTGAAGTGCCTCCCAGAGGAGGTGAAGTCCTGCATCAATTTAAAGACATGAATGAAAAGAATTAGACAACCACAAGCTTGCCACTCTCGCCATTAAGAAACGTAGTTTATTTGTTTTCCCTCCCCCTGATTCGGGGCTGATCTTGTGACTTGCTTTGAAACCAGCAGAATGTGACAGAAATGAGGCTATGCCTGTTTCAAGATGAGATACTTTTACCATCTTGGAGCCCTGAGAACCTTTGTAAAGGAGTCTGGTTAACTCTGCTGAAGAGACACTGTGGAGAGAGAGAGATGACTGGCCAGCCATCCTTCAGGTAAGCTGCCAAACAAGTAAATGGGTCACCTGAATTTTGACCCCCAGTATAGTCTCTAGATGACTAGAGCTACATATGATAACAGGCCAAAGAACCACTGAGCTAAGCCATCCCTGATTTCCTGATCTATAGTGTCATAAACATTAAAATGGTTGTTTCAAGACACTAATCAGGAATTGACACAGGTTTCCTTAAAGAATCAGATAGTAAATATTTTAGGCCTGCAGGCCACCTGGTCTCTACCTCAACTATTCAATTCAATTCTGCTCAACTGCCATGGCAGTATAAAAGCAGCCACTGTAGACAAAATGTAAATGAAAGTGCAAGCCTGTGCTCCATTAAACTTTATTTATTTTTAATTTTATTAAAAATGCTTAAGTTTATTTATTTTGAGAGAGAGAAAGAGAGCAAGTGGGGGAGTGGCGCAGAGAGAGAGAGAGAGAGAGAGAGAGAGAGAGAGAGAGAGAGAGAGAGAGAGAGAGATAGAAAGAGAATTCCAAGCAGGCTCTGCACTGTCAGCATGGAGTCTGATGCAGGGCTTGAACTCATAAACAGTGAGATAGGACCTGAGCTGGAATCAAGAGTCCGGACGCTTTACCGACTGAGCCACCCAGGTGCCCTCCTATATTGAATTTTAGCATAGCCTGTTACACAAGAAAAGATAACAGAAATGGAAGGCAACTTTCTTTGAGGGATGGCCTTAGTGTAGTTCCTCTCTGGTGTGAAGATGACCTCATCTAGTCCATCTCCTCTCTGAGATGCAACAAATGTTTAAACTCAACCTTAAATATGATTGGGGTTCACTGCAAGTGTTAAGATTTATTCATAATATGTGTCTACTCCACAGGAGCAGGAGTTTACTCAGCAACCAATCCTTACCATAAACACGTTTACTGAATTTTAGAGAATCTGCCTTTTTTAAGAACACAAATGAGTGGCATAGATAGTACAAATGTGGAATCCATAAAACCTACTCTCACCATGGGTTATGCAGGTGCTAATTATAACTAAGTTTTTATAATAAATTATAATAGTCAGGAAACCTAAAATATTCTCTAATTTTTAAAGATCCTCTACAGAAATATATACTTAAGAAAACAAAAGGCTATAGTATAGCAAGTTCTAATTTTCCAAGTAGGAAAACAGTTCATCAAGACTCTTCAGCTTTTAGGAAGGCGCACACAGCATCTCTAATCATTTCCAGGAGCTGTCAACTGGTCAAGCTGCACTCTGAAAGTGTTCCCTTTTCTGTTCTGGCTACCTACAAATAGTTCAAATATTAGATGGCTGTACTGACAGCATATCAGAAAGTTATTAAGAGGATTATTTAGAGGCATATTAAAATTTCAACCTATTTTTCCGACAATTTTAAAAATATACATTACAAATACTACAAGGCTTTGCTCTCCAGTAATCACATTACTTTAAAATTCTTAATGTGGCAATAACCATTACCTTTAAGAGTTTACTAAAATGGAAAAACCAGTTCTTCCAAAAAAAAGTAACTATTAAATAATTAAAAAAAAAAAAAAAAACACCATAATCACTAGACTTTTTATTGGAGTCCAAAATTTTTATTCATGGTACAGTGATCAATTCACTGTACTATTAAGAAAACAAATCTCACTGGTTTTCTATTTTTCTTGTGTAATTTCCTGAAGCCCAAGATGATAATGGTAAACCACATAACTGCCCAGCCACTGTGATGACCAACACTTAAGATGAGTTGGCACGCACCTGAATTCAACCACGATCTTCTTCTGGGGAAGACCAGAGAATAGCTCACTGTTTAACCCATATTTTGAGCCATCTTTGATTACTTGTTGTAGTACTGTCTGAAAAGTAAAAGGTATGAGATTTAATGACAGAAAAAAACTGCAATTTTTAAAAATTACTTAATTACTTTGTTTACTGGTAATGAAGTAAACATTGCTTATTTGCTCATTCTAATTTACGGAACTGAGCATTTTACAGCATTGTCAGCCCCTCCTCCAGTTGCAAATGCCAGTCAGAACAGTAATAATAAGAATTAACATCTATGGGGGCTCTGTGCCCTTTTATACATCACATCTATCTATTCTTACATGAACCAATGATATAGATATCTTACAGATAAAGAAACTGAAGTTTAGAGAGGTTAAGTAACTGCCAAAAGTCCCACAGCAGATAGTAACAGCAAAACCAGAAGCATCTAATATTTACTTAATGCATACTATGTGCATACACTGTTCTAAGCATTTTCTATGCATTAACTCATTTAATCCTTACAACAACCGTAAGAGAGAAGTATTATTTTTATAAATAAGGAAAGAGAAGCACAGAGAACCTTCCCAAGGTCATAATGCTATTAAGTCATGTAGCAAAACCTTTTTCACTCCAGAGCTAATGTATTAACTACTGCATGCTGCTGCTACTCTTGTAATACTAACGATCACATGAACAGTAGAAAACACAAAACTGTAATTCAAATGCCTACTGGCTACATAAGTAAAAAACAAGGAAATCTCACAGAAACAACCAAAACATATTCCATTTTTAGAAATGAACACAGAGGGGCGCCTGGGTAGCGCAGTCGGTTAAGCGTCCGACTTCAGCCAGGTCACGATCTCGCGGTCCGTGAGTTCGAGCCCCGCGTCGGGCTCTGGGCTGATGGCTCAGATGGCCTATTTCTGTTTCTGTGTCTCCCTCTCTCTCTGCCCCTCCCCCGTTCATGCTCTGTCTCTCTCTGTCCCAAAAATAAATTAAAAAAAAAAAAAAAAAGTTTAGAAATGAACACAGAAAGATTATACAGTTCACAAAATTCACATTTCCTTTTTTGCTAATGGCGTGATGCATTTATTTATGCGTTCATTTTTTAGTCTAGGGGTTTGAATTTACTATGATAGGCTTCTCTTTACTCTTACATTGGTTTTGCTTCATGAACTGTATTCTGAGTCCTAAATATGTAGTTTATGATGTGAAGAATTTTACTGTCATTAAGAGTTGGTTAAAATGGTCACTTAATGGAAAAGGCAAAGAAAGTAGCAGGAGGCAGCAAAACAATACTTTTAAGAAGCATCTACAAAGTGCTAGGTTTAAGTCCAGATGCTTTTATGCTATCCTTAGCCTCACAAAATCATAAAATGGGCAACATTTCCCATTTAGTAGATGAAAAACTAAGGTTCAGAAACAGTATGTATTTGCACAAGGACAGAGAGAAAATAGTATTTCTTTCACTCACAAAATATAGGACACAGAGAGTAAGGATGAATATACAGAGACATTAAGGAGAATAGTGTGTGTCATACACTAGGGGCCCATTATATGTTAATTACTCTAAGACTATGGCTGCCAAAACTGCAAGTGGGGGAGGTAAATACTAGTGAGGGGAGGAATTCATAGTCAGATTATTCTAAAGTTAACATCTACCCATTCATTTCACTTTCCATCCCTCTTATGTATAATGGATGGCAGACTCCACAAAAGGCAATCACAGTAAGTTAAACTCTCCTTTAACAAATGACCCTCAGTTCATTAACATCTCTGGCACAAACAAAAAAGCAGCTTTAGTAAAGGACTATCTTACCTGCCCCACTTCCAAACCTTCCATTGACAATCTGATCAATGTGCTACCTACAGCTTCCTTCTCGACTATTTTATTCCAAGTGCTCTCAAAATCAAAATTTGAAATGCCAAACCTAATTGAATGCTTAAATTCTCTAATGTATTACCTTTATGAGCACACTTTTCATAAACTAAAAAATTAAACAAGGTAAGGCAAAAGTCTAGAGTCCCTTTTGATCATCTGGCCTAACCCACCACCTTCCCCAAGGTGACCACTTTTCAAACATCACCTTAGCTAATGACTACTCTTCTCCTTGCAACCATCCTCTGTCCTTGGTTGTAACATTACTTTCTACTGACTTTTGCTTCCCAGTTTCCTTTGCAGGCTCCTCTTACACTGCCTGTCCCTCCGCTCCCCAGCCTGTGCTCCTTTCTTGCTTCTAGCTCCCTACTTTATACTTCTCCTAGGTATAAAGTCCTAAGACTTCAACCACTACTTACCTAATAATAAAATCTCTCCTGTGCCACAGACTGGTATGTCCAACTCCAAGAATGGACATCTAAGGCACTTCAAATGGAATATACTCCTCCTCCTTCTGCCTTCTCCACTTCTATGAACTATACCCCCTCACTCAGCTAACCAAGTCAGAGGTGTAGGAGTTCCTAAAGTTTACCCTTTTCCCACAACCTTCATAATCAATCATCTATTAACTACCAAACCTTGTACATGCTATCTCCTAAGTATCATTACAGTTATCCCCTGTGGCCTGGTTTATATCTTCATCATCCGTCAGCTATACCACTACAAAAACAACCAAAACAAAACAGTAATACACAACTACATCCTTATATAACATACATATTTAATTAAGTGTATGTTCTATTTAGGGGCGCCTGGGTGGCGCAGTCGGTTAAGCGTCCGACTTCAGCCAGGTCACGATCTCGCGGTCCGTGAGTTCGAGCCCCGCGTCGGGCTCTGGGCTGATGGCTCAGAGCCTGGAGCCTGTTTCCGATTCTGTGTCTCCCTCTCTCTCTGCCCCTCGCCCGTTCATGCTCTGTCTCTCTCTGTCCCAAAAATAAATAAACGTTGAAAAAAAAAAAATAAATCTTGCAATAATTCCCTAACATTTAAAATATTTTATCAATTTCTGGTTTGACTTTTACTTTATGTGCATATTACCTTTACTTTTTTAAAAATTTTGAGAAACCTGATTTGTTAAAAGGAATGTTATAATATCCATAAAAGTCACAAGTTAGAATTGTTCCTAAAAAAAAATTTTTTTTTTATTAAGTAGGCTTCACCCCTAGCATGGAGCTCAACATGGGGCTTGACCTCATAACCCTGAGATCAAGATCTGAGCTGATATTAAGAGTCAGACGCTTAACCATTTGAGCCACCCAGGTGCCCCTAGAAATGTTAGGCTTTTATAATTTTTGCAAGAAGTATATAATATCAAAATAAACTCTTATTAGTATAATACCGAAAATTATCAAATGTACCACCTGTGATACATATAACACACCATGGAAAATAATGACACAGGAAAAAGCTGAAACTCTTCTGCTGGGCATATAAGGCCCTCCACATTGTATAATTTCCTACCCTCCCCCGTGCCATCCTATGTGCAAACCATACGCTATCACTCCAGTGAGTGACAGTGCCAGACAATACCATGTTCTCGACTGTCTGTACTCTGGCCCAGACTATCTCTTCGGCCTGGAAGGCCTGCCCTTGCATCTCCCAGATACAGTCTTGTTTTTTTGTTTGTTTGTTTTAAGTAATCTTTACACCTAGTGTGGGGCTCAAATCCTTGAGATTAAGAGTTGCATCCTCTACCAAATGAGCCAGCCAGGAGCCCCGGATACAGTTTCATCTTTATCCTAATTCAAGATTGCTTCTTCTCTCAAGACAGTCTTATGTGGGCACCTAGGTGGATCAGTCAGGTTAAGTGTCAAATTTCAGCTCAGGTCATGATCTCATGGCTCATGAGTTTGAACGTTGAGTTGGGTTCTACACTGACAGCTCCAAAGCTCCTGCTTTGGATTCTGCGTCTCCCTCTCCCTCTGCCCCTCCCCCTGCACACACCTGTGTCTCTCTCAAAAATAAACATCAAAAAATTAATAAAAGAAGACAGACTTATGTGTACCTTTCTTTACACTGGACTGCAACTTATACATGCCTCCATTATATTATTCATCACATTATCATACCCACTACACATTACACCGTAACACTATTTTTTTATGCTTTTCTTTTAGATCATAAACTCTTTGAGGGCAGGACCCTCAGGACCTCGCAAATAATAAGCAGAAAGTTTATTAAACTAGTGGGAACTCAAAGTTTTTAACTACAGAATGTCAGTGAGCTAGTAAAGTTTCATGATATTCCAATAGATGAATAAACTAGAGGCCCATATCAATGGGTACATTAAAATGTCAAATGTTAAAATGTAAGATGCTCTTAGAATGATTTCTAAGGAAGCTACTACTATTTGTCTAGTTAATTCTTTGGTCAATAGTTGGAAAGTGCTTAATCATTCCTCCCATGTGTTCAGCCTATTGATGCTACACGTGATTTGAATGCGTCTACTGCTTTTTGGCATAAGCTCAATTAGTAAAATAATAAGCAGAATTAGAGCCACTTGATTAGTATCTCTTTTTCTGTTTTTTTCTTAAGTTTTAGTAGAGCATGCAAAGTTGAATTTGGCAAATAAAAAATACATGTGTACATGTGAACCAAAAATGATGTTATCCATTGTGTACTTTTAAGGCACACCTAAAAAACAAGACTTTGTTTGCCTTTTTCCTATTTAGTTAAACTCATATTTTCTTTTTTTCTCCCCCTAAACTATTATTCTAAATTACTCTTCATAAATTAGTCTTGAAAGTCATATGTAAGCTACTGACAGGTGGAAGCTTGGTACCAAAGTGACAGCTCTTCACAACGTATGTATTGGTCAAATCATCTTATAGCTTTGAAAAATTTATCATCTAGTCCCCATGATTTGGTACTTCCTACTGCCTTGAATTTCACATTTTAGTCTCCTCCCTTTGAGGATGATTTATATGAAGACATTATATTGCCACTGTTAGTGATCCAAACGTAAGCTAACATTTAATCATTCCTGGTGCTGCCAGTGTTAATAATTCAATTGTACTGCATGAACAGATAGGTTTTTATGCAAGGCTAAGCTTGTACATGTGTAAGCAATGACAAATTTGTAATTCTCTGCTTGAGAAGTAAGTTTTGGACACAGGTCATTGGCTACATGTCAATCTTGATAACATTAATATGCAAAAAAATGTATTAATAATGGTCCCAAAGGGTTGAATTTTTTTCTTGATGTGATCTGAAAAATTCATTACATATGCAAATGACTATTGTTTAAGGCCTGAAAATAATGGAGCCAGATGTAGAAGAAATTAGGCTTTGAACAAACAAGAAATATCATTAAAAAAAAACTGTAACGTAACACAGACACATTCAGTACCCCTTTTTCTTACTAGTTTAGGAAGTATGGTTACTGTAACACCAAGCAGGGCAACTGTAAGCAGTCTGCTTGTTCCTTTAACAAAAATCACTCTACGATCCAGATCCTCAAGGCTATAATGTTGGGAGGATTTCCAGGTGAAAAAGCTGGATCTCAAAGCCCTGGATATTATCCTTCTGTTGTCAACTGAGAAGGATTTGGGAATAAGCAAGCTAGCGTGCATCCTTAAATCACAGAAAAACTAATAGCTTATTCATTATAATATAATAAAGTATGAAAATTCATGGCCATTGAAATGTTAAATTATTAATATATGCCTTGCCTGATATATAAACCATATCTCTTTCAGTTAAGCTGGTTGCAAAGGCAAACTCCATCTAACAGCACAGTTTCCCATCTGAGGGAAAACAAAAGAAGTAAGATAACTGCTGCCTATGAAGCAGCCTGAAGTCTGATGGGCATTTTGGTGAACTGCACTGTTTCCATAAAAACTGAGACTGATGGGGCACCTGGGTAGCTCAGTTGGTTAAGCATCTGACTTCGGCCCAGGTCATGATTTTGTGGTTCGTGAGTTCAAGTCCCACATCAGGCTTGGCTGTCAGCACAGAGCCTGCTTCAGATCCTCTGTCCCCCTCTCTTTCTCTCTCGCTCTCTCTGCCCCTCCTCCGCTTGCTCTATCAAAAAATAAATAAAATAAATTTTAAAAAATTGAGACTGCAACTGGAAGAAAGAGTTACTTACTTAGAAATGGTAAATTAGACTCAATGGTTACTAAATTGACATGAAATGTTATCAAGAGACCAACAGATTGTAGACACATTTTAACAAGCTCAAATTTTCTCCTGTCCTTGTGAATGATTTTGGTTAACTAATTTACCTTGAAGTAGGAGTGAAAAAAAGATAAAAGAAAAAAGTTCAAAGATCTAGAGACAAGCATGAAACACTAACTCTCCTTCAGAAGGATTACAGGGCTGATGGGCAAATGCCAATAAACTATATAACCTTGGTGAGAAATTATACTATTAGAAATTTTGGTTTTATAATTATTTTCAATTCAGGACTGCAGCATTGACTAAGTCTGACCAACTCAATACCAGCGTACATATTTTTTAAAACAACAGACCAAAGCATGCATTATGATAAACTTTAAAGTTAAATTGAGACGAAACTCTACACAAAAGATCTCATACCGTGCCTATCCAGGATTACTTATCCTCCATAAGCATACATGAGACCCAATTCCTTTATGTCATTTCCCCAACTCCTCCAGGCCTACCTGAGTATTCTGATCCTTCTTAGGCTTATTGTATCAATCCACCTCGTTTGTTGTTCTTTTGTTTTGTTTTTTAGAGGTGGGGAGGGGCAGAGGGAGAAAGAGAATCCTAAGCAGGCTCCACGCCCAGCGACCCACTTTGAGATCATGACCTGAACCTAAGTCAAGAGTCAGAGCTTAACTGACTGAGCCACCCAGTCACCTCTACCTTTTTGTTTTAGTATTTGTTTTATTAAAAGAATAAGCTGTCTCATGGTTTCTTCTATATAAATCTTATGCGTCCAACAGATTACAGGCTACCAGAGAGCCAAAATCAGCAGTACTTTTCGTGTATTCCATACAGAGTCCGTTAACTCATTCAACAATAGTTATCTCACACATACTGCATGCAAGGCATTTTGCTAGGAACTGGGGATCCAATAGTGAGAAAAACAGATGCTATAAGCCCTGATGGAAATTAGAGTTTAAAGGGCAAGAGGCATTAATCAAATAAAAAGAATATAAACCAGCAACTAGGATAACTTCTATAAAGGAGAGCTATCCAGTGCTAGTAGAGCACATATATGAAGAAGACAGAAAGGCCCAACCCAGGAAATACCAAGAGCTGAAGGATAAGCAGGAGTTAACTTGGGGTGGCACTCCAGGGAGGGTTATCAGAATGTGCAAAGTTTTGAGGCAAGAGGAGACGAAGTTTAAGAACTGAAGGAAAATCACATAGCTAAATCAGAGACTAAACGTGCATAGCTGGAACAGAACCCATTCTTACCTTTGTTAATAGTTCTCTGTTTATTTTGAAATTTACAGTCCCTTGACCAGTGCTGATTTCACTTACCACTGTATCACATTTTAGCTGAAAAGATAAAAATCAAGTAAACTAGGTATGTTATAAAATAGACATATTGAAATTTGTAATTTTTATTTTTAAATTTTTATTTATTTATTTATTTATTTATTTTTAAGTAGGCTTCATACCCAATGTGGAGCCCAACAAGGGACTTGAACTCACAACCCCCGGAGCTAAGATCAAGAGTTGGACATTCAACAACTGAGTCACCCAAGCACCCTGAGATTTGTAGTTTTAATACTATCAAATTGGAGTCCAAAGGCAGCCAAGTGCATCATATCTCCCAGTCATTGTATCTGGACCTGGGCGTTAGCCAATCTGTTTACTTTTATCACTCTATTTGGGTAAACAACATTTTCTTTGTTTCTGGACGAGACCACTATTCTTTATTCAGAATCTCTTCCTCTTTCCCATTCCCTCACCTCAAATTCTCCCAGCATCACTTTATGCCCACCTTATGTGCCTTGACATGTAGTGAACTCTTTATCTCCCCTACCCTGTGTAGAGATTACTTCAAAAAAAAAAAAAAAAAATCTAAAAATTTTTCTCTCCTACCTTGCACGAGAGCCACAGAACATGCCATTCTGTCAGGCCCTACGCTGAAGCACTTGTATCAACACATGAAATAGAAATCATTTAAACCTTTTGTCCTCATTGAATATACCTTAGGATTTTAACCTACTAGATTTAAAAGCACCTGATAATACCCATGAACCTTGAGGAGATACCTATTATCACTGAAGAGGCACTAGTCTTTAGTTTTAAGAACTCACAGTTGATGGGAGAAGAGACTAAGTATTGTAATTAGCACAATTCTACTCCTGGTGTACTTCCTGATAAAAATCTGGGTTGATTTTCTGATTAAATACTTGCTCAGCTACCAAAGCTCTTTGATTATACTCAATCTTTATGCATCTTTTTTTTATGATGGTGACTTTCATTGTTCCAATCATTCAGTGTGCCCAGATGCCTCTGTCTCACATGTAATAACTCTATTTAAAAAACCCTGTTTTTGATGGTATTACACTAAAAAGATTTGGTCATTCTCTACAATCCTTTCAACTCCTCTTTTAGATACCAAACCCATCAGAGAAATTAGAATGAAAGACGTTTATTAAATCATCTAGCCACTTCTTCTCTGCAATCATGATTCTATTTACATCTAATCATTTCTTCTCATATTTTAATGCTCATCTTCTCAGAAAATAATTTTAAAAATTACAACCCACTGCTCTAATTTATCAAGCGTGTTCTCTTAAATTCAGAAGTCCGTCCAGCTTCAATCTGTGAATTTAATTAACACTTCACTCCTCCTGTAAGTAGTTAATCAAAAAATTGAACAATGTCAGGTCAAGAGGAATGCTTTTTAACTAATTTGAAAAATCATCTTAACCTTACTGTACACAGCTAAAATGAATTTAAATTGTATTTTCCAAGTACTTTGAACAAAAAAAACCTATTAAATCATTATTATGGCTGAAATAGCTTGCAGAGTTTTTTCTTCTTTAAAAAAATAATAAGATTATAATGTCAAAAAAAGATAATAGTGCTAAAGTACCTTCTCTGCCAGTCTCGTGGCTTGAACTTGAACATCTGGTCTTGAATGGTCATTGTTGTTTCCCAATAGAGAATCCACAGAAAGCTGAAAATCAGCTACTTCTCTAAAAACAGAAATTGAAAAAGGAAAAAGCTATTATATCTTAAAAACATTACTAATATAACAACAACAAGGACAAGCCACTATGGGTTCTCCACATTGATACAATTTTATGAAAGGATTATGCTTTCAAAATATAAAGCAAAGAAATCAGAAATATCACCTTATATTTATTTAGAACTTTATCTTCTAAAATTCTTCCTCTTCTATTACCTAATCGTAGTTTTACAATCTGAGATAGGTAGCTCAAAGTGTAATGAAATTTTAATTGATATACAAACATCTACATATTTACCCATGCTGGAATATCTGATATTTAATAAGGAACTAGAGAATGAAACTCTATGGGCAGAATAAGTGGATAAAACTACTGTCTAGTCCATTGTCATCGAGACAAAAGAATGTATTTTAGAGGGGCATAAATGAACTTTGTTATCATTCTTGAAACTCAGGGACATGCCTAAAAAACCCTGTGTGGTATCTGTTTCACATTACATTAAACAACTGGTCAACAAAAACCACTAAGAATTTTCTCAAGCCTGGTTTGTGGGATTGAGCCCCACTTTGGGTTTGCGCTGACAGCATGGAGGCTGCTTGGGATTCTCTCTCCTCTCTCTCTGCCTCTTCCCCCAGTTATGTGTCCGCATGCACATTCTCTCCTAAAATCAACAACAACAACAACAACAAAAAGAATTTTCTTGAGCCATTTCTGTGCTGGGCATGGAGCCTGCTTAAGATTCTCTCTTCTTCTCCCTTGGTCCCTCCCCAACTCATATTCTCATTCTCCCCCCTCACCCAAAACCCCAGGAAACAAAAAAACAAAAAAACTAGAAGAGTTTTCTTGAGCCTTAATACATTATCCAGCAACCTAATACGGATTATACTTACCAACCCAAACTCATCCACTAAACATTTCAGCTATAACTGCAGACCCAAGTTCATCTATTAATCAGTCTCTGTGTGATCTTAAGCACTTTGCTTAACTTCTCTTGTACCCTAGTAAAATGGTGATGATAATGGTACCTATTTCACATTGTGCTGAGAAATTAAGTCCTGAATAAATAATACTAATCTTAGTTCTGATGTTAAATAAAAATGTTAAACAGTCCTGAGTCCTGAGCCCTGAGGACATGACAATTCAATTTCTTAAAGACTAAGTTTAATTGGGGAAATTTACATAAGGTTTGAATGTATTTATTCTTACCAAAGGACTTTGATAGTTTACCACATATTTGCACCAATAATGTGGGAAATTGAAGAAATTAGTTTAACAAGATGGGAATAATACATGAACACGCAAAGATTTTTTAAAAGGTTAAATAGAGGGGCGCCTGGGTGGCGCAGTCGGTTAAGCGTCCGACTTCAGCCAGGTCACGATCTCGCGGTCCGTGAGTTCGAGCCCCGCGTCGGGCTCTGGGCTGATGGCTCAGAGCTTCGAGCCTGTTTCCGATTCTGTGTCTCCCTCTCTCTGACCCTCCCCCATTCATGCTCTGTCTCCCTCTGTCTCAAAAATAAATAAAGGTTAAAAAAAAAATTAAAAAAAAAAAAAAAAAAAGGTTAAATAGAAAGTAGTAAGAACAATTACGATATTAAGTGAAATTATACAGATGTGAATATACCAGAGATTAAAATTTTGACATATAGCTAGGATACTTTACATGAGTTGTAATAGGACTATATAGGTAGAATCGCTCTCAAACATCCAGGAAACACAAAGAGGTCACGTGATCTTCTATAGTTTAAAAAAATTATGAATAAGAAGCATCTATAATTTTATCTAGACATGAATGATAAAATAATGAAATTTAATTAAAAAATTTTATTATCTTAGAGGGCCCAAGATGGAGGAATAAACTAGAAATTTTATTTTGCATCTCTCCTCCCTGAATTACAGCCAAGATCAACACTAAACCATCCTGCACACCTAGAAAACTGATTTGAGGATTAACACAATAATCTGCACAACCTGAACCACAGAACTTGGCAGGTACGCAGTGCGGAGAGGTGAACTAGGGGAGAGAAGCCGTGGAGGGCCAGGAGCTGTTCTTGCTTGCGGAGAGAGGATGAAGATATGCAGAGAGTATGGGAAAGCATCTCACCCCCCCACACCCCGAAAACAGCTGGAGAAAAAAGAAAGAGTATGCAAAGGACTGAACAAAAAAAGGGAGAAAGGAGAAAAGAGAGGGTTTAAATTCCATTAAGACTCTATAAACAGGGGGAGTGCAGAGTCTGAAACTCTGCAGCTTGATACCTGGTGGTGGTCTGGTGGGAAGGGCGAATCCCTGTGAGCAGAAAGGTGCAAGGGGTCTTCAGGACACACGGGAAGAGGCGGTTCCCCTGCTGGGAGGATATTTGGGAGAAAGGGTGAGGCCATCCAACAAACAAAGGTCCCAGCGGACCCTGGAGAACATTTGCTGGTGCTGGAACAACGACATTACGTGGGAAGCCTGGTACCAGATGTGTGCTGTGATCTACCATAACCCCTGAAACACTGCTACTACACGATCATGGGAACTTCTTCTGGGGCAGACTGGCACCCAGCCACAGTCTCTGGGCATCAGCAGCAGCATGGTCCCATGAACACTCCTTGGGGTAGGCGGGCACCACGCCACTGGTCAGTGAGACTCTCCTCCAGAGAGTCATAAAGGGTCAATCTGCAGTCCCTCAGAAGTGAGGGGCTGGCAAACACAGCTGCATCTGAGACAAAACTCAGGAGGGAGGTGCTGGCTGGCAACCTGACGGCTTGGTCACGGACAGTGTAAAAGCAGGGAGTGGATGGAAGCAGGAGACAAAGGAGGAGTGCCTGACTGCTGGTTGGGGAGAACAGAATTCCATTACTAGAGACTGGGTACCTGGGTGACGCCATTTTCACTCCTCCCACACATGAGCATACACACCTACATGTGCCGCAAAAATCCACCCCAGTAGGCTAAACTGTGCCATCTAGTGGAGAATGGAGCCGTTACACTTAGCCCCCCCCCCCC